TGGGTTGACTTCCCCTTTAAAAATGCGAAACAGGCTTCACTTGCTCTATCCAGTGCTTTTCTACCTTTTAGGGCTTCAAGTAGTTTTACACGGTAACCTCATTCACCCTTATACAAAGATGAGAAGAAATACTTGTATACATAGAGACGATAGGAAAGTAACGCCTCATTCGCACACTGATGATATTTCTGGTTGAGACACAATCACGTCACCACCCGAGCCACGTGGCGCTGAAGTAACGCTCCACGAGCCATTGAGTCATTGTACTTGATGTCATTCACTAGCATTCCGCTGTGTTCTCTCTCTCATCAGACACGCCTTCACCGAGCAGCCGACGAAGCTTCCCTCCATCCTTCTGGGACAGTAACTACTCGTCACCTCAAAGCCGTGCGCACTGCGAGACGGCGGCTCCTTCCTATTCCATGGACCCCTACGCCTCGGGGCTACACCCGGGTCTGCCGCACCCGCACGCGCACCCGCACGCTCACCCACACTCCCATCCTCACCCTCACCCGGCGGAGAGTTGGGGCTACACACAGGCTCAGGCCTACGGGCCCCCGAGGCCCCTCCATGAACTGTACTCACCCTCCACTTTGGAGCCCCACTACGGGCCCCTGCTCATGCCCGCTGTTCGGCCGGCCCACCTGCCCACCTTGCCGAGCCACTACGAAGTCAGCAAGCTGGAGCCCACGGCCTCCTGGCCCGGTCTGCTACCTCCGGGGGACGTCGGTCAGACATTGGCCCTCAACATGGACGCAGGTAAATGACGGATTTTCTCTCTGAAAATGTAGCCCAGGGATGAGTAACTTCAATGCTGGAGGGAGCCTCAATTTTTCATCACTGCTCGTGGCAGGCCATGTCGGACCACACACTTCCTCAGCAGATGTATGAGAAAAAGGCTACTTTAAATATGGACAAAGAACCACTATCCTAACCCAACAATAAAGTGTTTGAAACAAACAACAAAATAACCTTTTTCCAGTGCAAAAGGCTTTCTCGCATAAAAACTACCATGCAAGGGTGGCACAAAACCTCTTAACAAGAAACCACCTTTTTCCCCCACAAACATGTACTCTTAAGATACTATAAGACACAAGTGATGAACAATTGCGAGATTTTCAAGAGCGGCGAATGTTGC